GGGGGGGGGGGGGGGGAGAGAAAAAAAAAAAAAGTCTCAATATCAATAGTTCCACCATGTTAAGAAGAAAAAAAATTTAATACCTTTAAATATTAAACACATTCTAGAACTTCAGGGGTTTTTTTTATTTACTGCAGTTAGCTATCTCAGGAACCGTTTCATTTTATTGTTGAAACAGGAGGTTATACTCAATAGGAAAACTCATTTCCAATGTTGTGGTGTATAAGTAACAAACTGTTGGATTTTATGGTTTGGTTTTTTTTTTCTTGAACAGATTCTTGAGATACCAACATTACCTTGCTATAAAGCTTTGCATGCCTTGTTTATCAAGATGATGATATACTAGAAAGTACTGCCTATCGTATGTAGCATCTCAACTTTAAGAAGATATGTTGAAGAAGTACTTTCCCCTAAGGGCTAAAATGAAGGCAGTGCATTTCCCATAGGGGAAAAAAAAAAGAAAAAGAGCCCAACATAACCATCTCCGAGAAAAAAATGCTATTGTGTGGCATAGTGAACGTTGAGAGAAGGGAGAAATGGCCTTGCTGAAAATAAGCTGGAGATTTTTACTGATATTCAGAAACAAACTCCTGAAAACAAGATTTTATTGGATGTTTATCTGGCTGGTTCCTAAGGTAACACAGCTAAAAAGCAGCCTCTTATCTTGAGAGCAAGGAAGAAACTCTGAAAAGAATCTACACTGCAACTCTTGAGGAAAAAAAGGGTTGTTTCACAGGCAAACCCTATGGCTGTCTTATCACAGTGTCTGGCTGACAAACTGAATGAAAGTGTTCTTAAAAGGTTTCATTATAAGATGACACAGTATATCAAAAAGTATCAGCTATTTCTGATTCGATATGCAGTCCAATAACTCTCCATCACCACGCAATGATCTCCCTGCATGTTAAAGCCCCTAGCCTTGATGAGGCTGGGGAGCAGAAACACACACCGACAAAATTCTAGAAACTGTCGTAGTTACAGCAAAACTGGAGACAAAACATGACAGAAATTCCTCAGCTGCATTCACTCTAAAAAGAAACTCCGCCCCCAGAATTTGAAGTATGTAACACGCACACAACATTCCTGAACCCTCATTTATACAGAACACATCAGCCAGCATTGAAATAAGGGGTTTTGTTCAACTTGGATTGTGAAGTCTCAAGTGAAGCAGCTAACATATTAGTGAAATGATCTTTCGCCCTAGTCTGGTAAATCTTAAGCTAATGTCTACAGCAGCTGTCCTAAGTTAAAGCCTTTTTAAATTATAATTCAGACAGAGCAAAAAGAAATATGTACATCTATAAGCTTATAGCATAAAAAAAAAAAAAAAAAAAAAAAAAAAAGAAAAAAAAAAATGAGGGGGCTGCGTTCCCTGGAATCATGCAAGGAAAAGAAAAAAGGAAATAAAAGAGAAAGGAGAAAAGGGGAGGGGGGGGGGAAATAAAGAGAAACTAGCTCATGACAGCGGTTGCATCCCCATCTCTCCCTGCTTGGAGCACACGTAGCTCGCTCACCCTGTGCTCACACAGCAGTGTTGCTGTCAAGCCCAGCTGCCCAGCCCACTGCAAGACAAGGAGATGGCAAAGCTATTTTGTACAAACCACATGACTAAGTTATATTCTGCCCGTTTCAAAGGAGCTGCAAAATGAGGGCTGTTGCTCTGCCTGCATAACAAAAGGGGACAAAAAAGAAGTGCCTGCTCCGCTAAACCAGCTCTCAAGCTGCTGAGTCACTGAAGAGGTGGCAGCTGAAACAAAAACAAACTGCAAAATAAGCACAATGAGTGAAGAGCACTGCTACATACCTGGACTGTGCCTTCTGCAGCTGTTAGAGCACCTTCTTTTAATAAAATGATGACATGAGATATTATAAAAACTTTTCAAGACACTGAAACTGAAGTCACTCATCATTTATGTAAAATTGCAAATTCACACCACTGCCAGAAAGTACAAAAAGAAACTATTCCAATTTTAATGAGACTATAGATTCAGTCTACCGATGTAGATATAACAAGGCTGA